TATATATAAAAAGCCTCATTTATTAGCTCATTTCTACCTTTCTGCCAAAAAAATTCAAAGTTCAAAAAAATATCTCTAGCCTCGCCAAAATCCAACATTGTTCCATCGTGCCTACCATCGCTGAAACCATCACTGATGGTCACTGCCAATGGTCGTTAGTGATTGAAAAATACCAAAATACTTCAAGAAATTCTATTCAATGTCTTCTTTTCAGATCTGATCTCCTTTTCATCGGGAGTAGTCTTGATCGACGTAAATTGAGGTTTAAAGTTTCGATCTTTTTTTTTTCTTAATAAACTAAAACTGATGTATTTTTTTTTGTAGGTATCTCTTTGGTGTTAGGTCCCTCATCGATTCAGCGAGGACTGTGTGTGTTTTTTTTATTACCTTGTTCTTTTTTTTTTTTTGTATTTTGGCTTAGGTGTTTATGAAGGTAGAGGTTTGGTTGACAAGTGTGCTGACAAGTTCTCGATATATAAGGGGTGTACGCACTTTAGGAATGAGCAAGGGTCATTAGGAGGCGTTAGGGTAGAAAGTTGTGATAGGGTTCGGCTATGAAGGTGCACTGGTGCTAGAGGCATCCTAACTATTTTAATGCAAGCTGAAGCTTTAGACGTAAGAAAGATTGGTGCTCAAAAGTTCCCTCATGTGCTCAGAGAAGGGTGTGAAGTTTTTAGGAGCTTCAAAAGAGGAGTAAGTGATGGCTGGTATGGTAGGGTAAGGGTTCTAGCAATGCAAGGTATGGTCGAGACAGGGTATGGGAGTGGCCAATAGGGTGGGTGGCCAATGGTGCCATATAAGGCACCACTGCCACCTCAATCTTTTTTTTAATTATTATATTTAATTATTAATTAATTTTAATGTTAATAAACAGAACTTGAAATGAGATTTAATTTAGTAGACCCAGACAAAATTTGGTGTCTACAACCTTGCTAGGGAAAAAAAATAAAGCCTCGTACAATACACAGAAGAATAATGCACACAAGGAAGAACATTTACATTTTGTTTTATATATATAAGCAACTTATGTAAGTTTTATACATTTTTTTAATTTTTTATTTTAATAGATTTAAAAGATGAGAAAAATAAATAAATAAAGTGATTTAATTTTATTTTTAAATTTATTAAAATCAATAATTAAAAAACATTTATGAAAACTATCATGATCAATTTTTTATTCATGAAAAAATAATAAGAAAATATGCCATCTTAGTGACAAGTTCCCTGGCCATTTGGCCACTGCCAAGTACAATATCTATTATTTTAATAGTATCGACAAGTATATATTTAGACTTTATAAATCTGATTGGTATTGTAGAAATTTCAAATTTAACGACCTTTTTTAGAGTATTTTAGGCTCTTATCTAGGAGCAACATAATCTTCAAGTATAGTAATGCTAATGAAAGTTTCATTAACTGTTTCAACCCTAACTTGACATTCATCAACAATTCTACATGCACCATTATTATAGCTTGTGAACAACGTATGATTTATGTTATTTTGAATGACATGAAGTATTTATTAATTCTTTTACAGCAAGAAGTATCTGACTTGAAATTATTGACTTTGATTTTTTTTTTTGAAAGTTTTGAATATTTGAGCTCAATAACACTCAAAATGTTGCTATACTTTCAATATTTTCTCATCTAATACTTCTAGATATTATGTAATAATGGAAACAACAAACTTAGTTTCCATCTCTATTTCTGATTTACTTGTAAGTTTTACTAGATATGCAATAACCTTCTCAACAATTAAAAGATCCATTCAAAGAATACAAGGACTAAGTGAAGTAATGAGTCGCCAAATAGTTGAACAACAATTCGTTTACTTAAATTAGTGGGTTTGGTGTTATGTGGTTTTTTAAGTGTGACAATCTTAAGATTTTGAATAGGGATGAATAGGGTTGGTGTTTTTAGGATTTCGGGTGACGATTTTTAAAGTGTGTGGTTTTAGGGTTTTCAATATGGATGAGCGAGTTTAATGCTTTTAGGGTTTTGGGTGATGGTTTTTAGGGTGTGGCAATTTTACGGTTTCAAGTAAGGTGAATGGGTTTAGTTTTATTAACGTTTCAGGTGGCAATTTTTAAAAAATGATGGTTTTAGGATTTTAGGTTATAGGTGAGTGGATTTCTTGTTTTTAGGATTTAATGTTTGGTAATTTTAAGGTTTTAGGTGAGATCGAGTGGTGATTTTTAAGGTGTAGAGGGCGAATGCGTTTGGTGTTTTAAAAGTTCAAGTGATGGTTTTAGGGTGTCAAATAGGGTGAACGGGTATGGTGTTTTTTGGGTTTCAAGTGGCGGTTTTCTAAGGTGAGGTTGTTTTAGAGTTTCATGTGAAGAATAAGCAATTTGGTGATTTTAAGGTTTTGGGTGATGATTTTTATTGTGTGTTGATTTTAGAGTTTCAAGTGAAAGTGAGTAAGTTTGGTGTTTTTAGAGTTTTGGGTGGCATTTTTAAGGTATGGAGGTCATAGGGTTTCTAGTGATGGTGGGTGGGTTTTGTGTTGTTAGGCTTTTGGGAGGTAGTTTTTAAGGTATGGAGGTTTTGGGGTTTAAGATAAGGGTTTCAAGTTTTGTGTTTTTAAGGTTTCAAGTGATAGTTTTTAGGGGTGATGATTTTAAGGTTTTGGATAGAAGTGAGCATGTTTGGTGTTTTCAAGGTTTTGGGTTTTAGTATTATAGAGGCAGGCCATGTAACATGTTGTGAAGCTACATGTCATATTGTTGGCTATAAAATTTCATCTCAGGATTATGTTTTGTTATTCCCATTTTAGAGTCACTAGAGATGTGCCTTGATGGCTCTGCAATAGTTTCTTTCTTTCAAATATTAGAAGTTCCTCACATTACAAATATATAGATATCATCATTCAGTTTATTTGAGAGAAAATAATGGAATCCTTTGTTGGAGTAAATTGTAGAGCACATAATCTATAGAGTTCATTCTAGTGTAACCACTAAATAATTTTGGTTGCTAAAGTGTTTTGATGACAAACTTTTATTCAAATCTAATAAAGCCTTCTAATAAATTGAGCTAGTTGGAGCTTTGTGTAATGAAATCAAATGCAATTGTGATGAATGGATTCCTATTTACCATATATAAGTTTTATTTACACGCATTCTGATAAATAAGACATTATCTTGGATGAAATATTTTGGATTAATCTTATGAGTTTCTTTAGAAGTAATGCATCGTTTGTTTAGATGCATGGACCTAATGGAAATAGATATCGATTTTGTTTTCATATTATTTTTATTTCACATTATCATACTAATCCTTCTAAAGTGTTTATGAGTTTATATATACTTACCCTATCACTACAGTTTATTTTAGGGTTCATAAATGCTTGTTGTTGTTGTTGAAGTATTCATAAGTCTAGGTGCATGTATCTTGTCATTATAATATATTTTGAGATTTATAAATACTTATTGGTTGTAAAGAGCATATAAGTTCATACATTTGTACCCTGTTAATATAACGTATTTTGATGCTTACAAATGCTTATTCTATTATGTAGTGATTTGGGTATATACTTGTACATTTGTCGCCATCCTATTAATCTGAATTCAATTTAATGACTTTGTGTTATTCGAGTGGAAGATTGTTATAATTATCTTAATTAGTGGACTAACAATTGTATACTAAATTATATTAATTAATGTCAATTAATAAATAATTATTATAGTACCATGTTGTAATATACTCAAATTAGTAGAATGATTTTAATTAAGTATAATTTCGATATAATTATGTGTTTAGACCTATAATAAGATAGGTCTATTTTGACTAATATATTAAAATAGGTATTTACTCTCATCTCTATATATAAGGTTGGCTCATTATGTTTCATAACTTCAACTCCTGGTAAAAAGTAATTTTTTCTTTCATTTCTTTCTATTCAGGTTTCCGTTTAGATATTTGTAAGACACATCTGAAAACATAAAATAACGACAACATTTTCGTAAATTTTAATTAAGCAAAATTAAACTTTTACCTACATTAAAATCAAATTTAATTTTAATTAAAATTATTTTAATGATTCAATGAGATTTCAAGCAAATCCAATAAAAATAACTTATTAACAATATCTCTTTCATTCAGTCTCAACCCATGTAGTCTGTATCTTACCACTTCTTGTAACTCTTTTCACAATTGAGCTGTTATCTCCTCCAGTTGCTTGAACACCGACCGGTTCCTTTCCTTCATATTTTATATATATATATATATATGAATATATCGTCGTATATTGTTGTTCTTCTTCTTTCCCACTTTTCTAGTCCTTAAATTTCCTCGTGTAAATTGTGAAAAGCTTCTAATGGGGGAAAAAAAAAAGGGATTCTGGCTACGTACTTTATAAGTAGACAAAACCTATGTCTAGGCTACTCGTGGACACTGAATTTATTGCTTAGTAAATGTACGGACCCTAAAATTGTTTTTTTTTTTTAATAAATGTGTGTTTATGTTATAAAGTACCCTAGGTTGTTTCTACCAAGCAGCAGTTGTGCTCACAGAGAGCTCTGATAATGGGCAAGAACAGTGAGCTTGACTTTGGTCTTCATTGTCCTGAGACCTGATCATTGATCCAGCAGTGCCTGGATTGATTTAAGGGATTTACTAAAAAGACCGCCAAGCTTTAGCGATTCTTGTATTCCTTGTTGCTTGATTAAATAACAGCGCAGGAAGAACAGAGAGCTCGGCCCTTGTCTTGCTTGTCCTAAGTCCTGATCAATGATCAACTAGTGCTTGGATTGTCATTTATCTACACCACCACCAAGCTTTAGCTATTCTTGTATTCCTTGTTTTTTGTTTAAATAACAAATTAATATTTTACCTATAATTCTTTTTTATTATAATTTTATAATTATTCAATCAAAATAAAAAATATGTAAAAATTTATCAAATTATAAATATGAGTTTCATATAAAATTTTTATAAATTTTCTATAAATTTAAATTATAATTATTAATCATAATATAATAATTTTCAATGACATACTCTCAAATAACAATTCTCCACACTAGTTAAGTAGTTAATAAACATATGAATTTTGAAATTTTAAAAATTTCACAAAAACAGTTGGAGAACCTAGGATCATGTTAGTATTGGTTTATTGATTATTTATCATATGTAGTCTCTCAGAGGAGAAATTATTATCATAGTTGGGATATTTGTGGATGAAATTAAAGTGAACATGAAACCCCATTTAAATTTTCCATTTTTCTTCCTTGGGAAGAGAAGCAGGGTGTTTCTTGATTCTTGCCAAGCAATTGTCTGCGGGCCTTGAATGTGGTAGATACCTAATTTTACTCCCAGGATTAAGCCGCTGTAGCCTGCAACGCCACGTAACAAAAGGAAAGTACTTCGTTAGTACTATCATTGATCATTCTTAAAGAAGCCTGCTCAGTGCTCCCCTCAATGCAATGCTTAAAAGGACATTTTCAGCCACCAAACAGTGCATTCATCCATTTTCTTGAATATTCGTTGCTGATTGTGATGATATAAAGTTTTTTTTTTCTTTTTAACAATTTTATGTGAAAATTATGAATTATAAATATGATAAACCAACATTGCAAAATAACTTACTGATAGTTGAGGAGAAAATGATGAAGAAAAATAGCAATTTCAAGCTTGGCTAGATCACTTCCAGGGCACAATCTGCTTCCTGCTCCAAAGGGAAGGAAAGTTCCTGCTTTTGCTGTATAATCCTGCAAAGTATTAATTAATAGGTTGTACTTTATGGTTGGTGAACAGGCACAGAGAAAACATTAATTTAATTTAAAGAAATATGAAAAGCATTATGAAACGTACATCCCATCGAGAAGGATTAAATTCTTTTGGATTTGGGTAAATCTCAGGGTCCAAGTGAATGCTTCTGAACCAGACTAGAACTTTCCACCCCTTGGGAATGGTATATCCTGAAAAGCACGAAATTTATGAAGATGAAAAGAATAGCATCAAGTGGCGACCAGTGGTGAGTGTATAAATATATATATATATATATGAGTAAGATTTATTTATATTAATGTAATTTTTATATTTTTTAATTTTAAAATTAAAATTAAAATAATATTTTTAAATTTAATAATTTTGATCTAAAAATTAAAAAAATATATAAGAATTATATTAATGAAAGTAAATCTTATGTATTATTAACTAACTTAAATTGAAAAGTTCTACAATATCAACTGACCGCTTATATTGACATCTGTTTTTGCCTCACGGAAGACCATCAATGAGAATGTTACCAACCGAAGCGTTTCATCAATCACCTTCATAAATCAAATTAAGGAATGAAATGAAGGGTTCCAAATTATACTGAACATCCAAAAACTCAGCTGAAAGCCATAAAATTAACTGATATAACACAGAGGTACCTTAGAAAGATAATCCATTTCTCGAATTTCTTTGAGCGTTAAACCCTTTTGGGTCGGTAACCTTTTTTTCACGATCTTTTCTTGCTCTGCCTGTATACAATATTTTCTAGTCTAATGAAAAAGCAGCACATGAAAGCTCTAAGAATGCTCAAATATTTAACTAAACAAATAAAATGTGCACAACATCTAAATTATGCTACCTTTGCTTTTTCTAGAACTTCTGGGTGTTGTTGCAGGAAAATAGTCGCCCACATTGTAGTGTGGCCGGAAGATTCATGGCCTGCATTCAGGTACATCAACATAATATCAATTATTTCCTCATCATCCAATGTTTCACCTTTCTCGTCTTTGACATCCATCAAGGCATCCAACATGTCTTGCTTCTTTGTTGAGTTATTTGTTTTCCTCTGATTTCTCCGCTCATTCACCACAGATTGAAAAACCCCTACAAGTTTTTTCCGAGCCTAACAAAAAAAAAAAATCCTTTTCAATATATTCCTCTTTAGCGTACGATAATAAACTTCACATGCAAGAAACAAGTAAGAAAATCTCACCTTGAGGGCTTTATAATAAGCAAATCCTGGGACATTGATTGCCATAGCTCTAACTCCATAGTTAAGGGTTGTGTATTCCTTCTCCAAGGCTTCCATTACCTCTTCGCTTTCTGAGCTGAGAAAAATATACATTATTATCCTAAAAGTGAGCTTTCGGAGTTGCGTCAAGAATTCAATTTCTCTCATCTTGGTCCATTTGTCCAAGGCAGATATCACATTCTCTTCTATATATGGGATGTAAATGGACAGTGCTTCATGGCCATTGACAGGAGCTGCAGTTAAACGGCGGAGACGCTTGTGTTCTTCATAAGAAATGCCAATAAATGATTTCTTTCCAATGAGTTCTACTGTGGCAGTAGGCCATCCAGGCTTAAACGCACCATCATCATTTAACACTCTTTTACATATTTCGGGCATTGTAACAATTACACTTGGGTTCCCAAACATGAAGGCCTTGTAGATTCCAATGTGCCCGAATCTGCGTTGGTTGTTCAATCACACATCAAAAGTGTTGTGTACATTGGGAATGAGCTAGCGGATAAACGAAGTGGTTATGAAAGATGTAGAGAAATAGTAAATTTTTTTATAGTATTTAATAATATTTGATAATTAATGTATAAAAAATAAATATTTATAAATTTTTTATTTATGTTAAAAGTACTTGACAAGTATTGTTTGATTAGTAATAAAAATAAATATTCATTAATTTAATACTAATAAAAATATTTTTTTTTTAAATTGAGGTTAATTCAATCACCATGATTAGATCATATAGTAATTTAAAAATCTTAAATGACAATGATCTTGGATCACGAAAAGTGATTAGATCATTACTATATGAGATGATATGAGTTTTATTTAAAATGATGAAAAAATTTTATCACCAAAAAAAAAAAAACTTCAAAATGATCAAAAATTTTCATTTTTTAATCATTTTATACAACTTATGTGACTTTTTATACTCATCCAAATTGATTTCATACCTTACAATTTTTTATAGAATAATAAATTTTTACTTTATAAATTATTAATTCAATAAACATTAAAATTGTCACTTTCTTTTACAATCATAGTATTATAAATACTAAGGTTATTTTAGATATTTCATATTCAATGATTTTTTTATGAAATACCAAACATAATAAATTAATATCACAATTATTTATAATATTATATCAAATATAATATAATAATTTAAAATCATCAATGATCAAATCACTTTAAAAGTGATATCAACTATAACTAAAGTATTGTTTAGTATATAGGATGATAAATATGATAATATGATAATCATTCTATACAATATGATAATCATTCTATGTTATGTTTTATTTGTATATAATTGAAAGGAATATAATTATAAAAAGGATTATCATCCTATTGGTATAGAAAGATTCAATTATCTCAAAGTGAAAAGGATTATTTTTAATCTATGAGATTAAACTTACATATCTTATTATATCTTTAAAAATTATATTAATAATTTAAATTGTATAAATTTTAAGAAAAAAAATTTTGATTAATAAATAAATTATCATATTTTAATCCTCATGCACATCAAACATAAGATAAAATCATATTTTTTAACATAATCTTATTCATAATATTATATTATTTTATTTTATCATAATTTTTTATATCAAATATGACCTAAATACCTAGGTTATTATGAGTTTCCGTAGATATTGTGGTGGTTTTCCTCTTTGACCAAGATAGCTACAAATTGATTGATTAATAATTGTAAGGCGAAAGAGAGAGGAAAAATGCTCAAAATTCAACATCTTTTAGCTTGAAAAGCGGAGCATAAAAGCTTTCAATCGGACGTTCGAAATTTTTTTTGTAAAAGGGCATATATTAACTTCGTATATATAGACACCAAATAAGTTGGTATTTATAAAATGTATTTATAATCATTGTTTTTTTATGCTTTCGTTCAAAATAGTTTAATAAATAAAAAACATTGTTTTAAAACAATAACTTAATGTTATGTTTGGTAAATAAAATAATGAATAGAATAAAATGAAAATCATCATCTACCATATTTAGTTTGTATTTAAAGAAAAATAAATTAAAAAGAAAATTAATCATTTTCTTGATATAGGATAATTCAATCTTTTTAAATTAGAGATAATAATTATTTTTAATCAACGAAATTACACTTACATGTCTTATTTTACCTTTAAAAATTATATTAATAATTTAAATTATTAATTATATAAACTTTGAAGAATGATAGTTTTGATTAATAAATAAAATTATCTTATCTCATCTCATCTTAATTTTTATACAGATCAAATATAAAATAAAATAATATTATTTAATCTAATCATATTATAATATTATTTTATTTTATTCTATTATAATCTTGTACAATAAACCCACTCTAAGCACCGAATCCAATGAAATGTATGCCAGCTTCTAAAAAAAAAAACATTTACAAGGCTCGACCACTAAGTGGTTTGGATTTCTAAGGTGCCCTAAAGACAAATTATCCCCCATGAGCGTGAGGTGGTGAAGTTGTTTGTTTGCATAAGCTAGCCCAAAAGGAAAACAGACTCACAAGTAGACGTGACACAAAATGATAAAAATATATAAAAGTGAATTTAAAATTAATAAAAATAGTATATAAATTTGATAAAAATTAAAAAATATATATTTTTTATATTTAATATATAAATATAATTTATATATTTTATGCATATTTAACAAAAAAAATAAATATAATATAAATGCATGAGTTACAACTACACTCACAAGTCGCAACATATCCTCGCCAAGTTACACAGAAAGTGTCAAATAATTTTACCGACTCTCGTTAAGAAAGAAAAAACAAAAGCCTATGATAGCGAAGTGGAACGCGCTGGTATGCAGGATTAGCAAATACGAGTAGGCGACAAGACAGCCAACTGCCCCATTTCCAAGACATTAGGTGGTGGGTCTGGTTCAAGCTGAGCTCACATGGTCCCAAAAACAAGTACATGCGTTTTTGTTTGTATGAAAAGTTGGCCTATATAGGACTCGCTAAGATGAACGGTGAAATTTGGAATATTCCATAACAGACTATGGCGCTACGTTAAATGTCCCGTATGCTCCTCTTGAATCATCACACTGCTATGCATCTATGATCTATGAATGATACATTGATCATGCTGTATATAAAAAATAGTAAGGACTGACTAAATAGCCAAAGCCAAAGCCAAAGCTAAAGCCAGAATAAACGCAACGTATTACTGTAAAACTTAAGACAGCAAAACTGACAAAAGAGGCCAGCCTAGCCCATTTCTCTCTCTCAATCAAAGAACGAAATATATTGCATACTCGTCAAAATTATTTTTCCGGAGATGAGAGCTAGGCAGAGACAAACACTTCCCTGCTTTAAGCGGTCATGCAGTCCTGACAATTAATTTATGTTTAGTTTTTCCTTTCCTTGCCTAATCGCCAATTTTATCTAGTGGAGATCGCTATTGCTTAGAGCGGGGATATTTCGGTATGTATATTTTAGAAAACCGCAGGTTCAAAGGTAGACCCTTGGAGAGGGATTGAGAGTGGGAGGGCGTGACTGAGTTAAGGAGAAAGGTTGCTAGAGTTGAGAAGCTACCGTTATCATGAAATTGAATACCAGCAACACGTCTAGCCAACCCACACGAGAATAATCATGGTAACAACGACACAGCAAACTCTACATGGCATAGCAGCTCGAAAATAGAAAAAAATAAAAAAAAAAAAAGGAAAAACGAAAAAGGGCAGTGGTTACAAGGACAAACAAAAGTCTTTTTCTTTTCTCAAGGGGGTTCAAATTGTTTGATGGATAGAAGCCTAGAACCTCTGTTGCCAACGTCAGTTTCCACAGATTATTCTCGTGGAAACTTGTTTGTTTTCTGCTCTCACCATCTAGACCACTTGAACTTGAAAAATCAAAGAAAAAATGTAAATAAAAATTAAAGGGGATAACGAGAAGAAAGAGAAGACTCAATTCAAAGAAAGCCGAATGGGAAGAAAAAAAAAAGTCCATCCCTTGTCACCTGAGGAATCTAATCGCTAACGAAACAAGGCCAAGCAGAAATTATAACGCATCTTCCATTTCTTGTGTGCCAGTGGGAACACAGCACATAAGCTATTAGATAGAGCCTGTCTTGCTATCAATATATGCATACACTTATTTTTGTTGCGCATATGTCTATAATTACATACAGCAAACAAAGAGAGAGAAAGAGAGAGAGAGAGAGCGAGGAAAAGTACCCGGAAACGAAGGAACGGATGAAGGAATCGGGATCGTTGGACCTGAAGGCTCGGAGAAACGACCACATGTTGCCAATGAAAGGCCATCCTAAATCCCCTGGCGGCAGAGAGTACCTCTTATTGCCTAATTGGGTTTCATACACCCAACAATTCACTCTCTCCAGGACCCATTTTACAGACACAAAGCCAGCCAATGTTGCTAAGAGGACAACCATCCACATCGAACCCATGATCTCCATTACAGGTAAGGTGCTGCACAGCTCGAACCACCAGTATTTGTGCATCAAGCTAAGCTTGAGAGACTTCTCTCAAGGAATAGTTACTCTTGTTATATCCTACGTTCTCAGCCGTTGTTAGAGCCAGGATATATACATATATTTATATATATTACTATAACTGAAAGTAGCAAGGATAAAGGGTAGCGCTTAGGAGTATTTAAGGACAGTGGCTCAAAAAAAAAAGAAACCAAGAGCACAAACATGCTAGTGAAAGGCAAATAGGGAAAGTAAGCTGTTACGGCACTAACTTACATTATTAAAGGACTAATAAAAGAAAAAGACAGGAGGCAGCTTGCCGGCCTTTATCTGCTCTTTTGTCGTTTCTATATTGGATTTGATTCTCTGTTAAGAGTTTCTCTCAACTATCTACTTTACCAAAGCTGCAAATTATATTCAAAATATTTTGGATACTTTTTGATTCATTAGATTTGTGATAATCTTTTTTGCCACAGAAAGATTTGTGATATCTTTTTTCTTTTATTTTTTAACATATATATATATATAGGAAATAAAGGTTAATGCAAATTATTATTAGTTTAATTGGTAAGTTATTTTTAATTTCAATATACTTTTTTAGAGAATTTTCAATATTTTTAATTTTTTTCTCAGTCAAAAAAATCCATTTTATTAATGATAACCTTCCCAGTCCGACCATCATACTAACGTCAGGAACTGTAGAAGTCACAAGCATAGAGCAAATGAATATATTCATGATTCAAATGAATGTATTAAAATATTCATAATACATGTTTCAGTTTTGATTATGTAAATATATATCAAATGAATGTATTAAAAATATAATAAATTAAAAAAAAAAGTAATGAAAGCAGTAGTCACATTTCAAGTTTCTTTTCTCTTTTACTCCTCCAAGTACTTAAATTTAGTTGTTTGTCGTTTATCCTCCTAATGGAATTTTGGCACGCATTTGCAAGACCCACTCAGCACAGCACACTCACACTTCCATCTAATCCTTTCTTGATTACGAGCTTAGACTTGTTTCTTCAATTATGTCCACAAAGTGACGAATGTTTAGAGGAATTACAGATGAGAGCAATCGACCTAAAGTTTCAAAATTATTAAGAAAGATTTCAAATTCACTTATTAGCCTAAATTTCCCCTAATTCATCAACTTTCTCATTCTGCTTATTTTTCTTCTTTCATCCGCCCTACTTTTGGCATTATGATAGCCGGATCTGGTTTGCTAAAGCCATTTCTGACCACTACAAGCTGAACCTTTTTGATCTGGGTGGATTCTTATATCTTGTCGATGTCAGGTTGGGGCTTACTTCGGTCGAAATTAGCTTATCATGGCCCAATTCAACCTTAACAAGCTAAATTCAAGGGTAAATTTCACCGTAAGTCATTCAACTTAAATCCAAATCTCATATGGATCATTAAACTTTAATTTGCACATTTAGATCACTAAAATTTATCAAGAATACCAAAATTAGTCACCTTAACAGATTCTATCCAATTTTTGACAAAAAAATGACATGACACAATATCATAAGCCACATCAACTAATTAAACCGATATAATTTTATGAAAAGTCATTAAACTTTCACCTAATTTTTAAAATGGTCACTAAATTCTAATTTGTCTTTGTAAGAGTAATAAAATTATTAAGTGCACCAAATTTGATCATTATAATAAATTTCAGCCAAAATAAAAATAAGTTAAATATTTAAATAAAAAAGTCCTTATAGTTTAATTAAATCATTATTTATAAAATATTTATGCTCTTTCATGTAAATAAAAGCAGTAATAGTAACATTACTATAACTTTGTTCAATAAATTAAATGTTGACATCTATAATACTCTTCAGTTATCAAACTCTCCTTGTTTTTCACTACCTATTTGATTTGAATCAAGTTACATGAACTATAGTATCTTTAAATTTCTCCATTAAACCATGTAGCTATACCTCGCAAAGATGCAAATAGTGTCCCGATCCCAAAAATGTTTTATAAATGGAGTAGCAAAGCTATACGTGAAAATAATCGCCTATCCAATCTGCTAAGAAATCCATAAGTTAAAATGCCTTCACTCGAGATAGATATATGGCACAAGGTAGTCGCACCTATGGTACCAAATTAAGTAAATTTAGAAAATCAAAAGAAAAAATATTAAGTGAATCCAGTGCAAACAGATTTTTAATGATTTTTTTTTAAGTATTACTGCTTTTATTTATATTAAAGAGCATAAATATTTAAAAAATAATGTTTTAATTAAATTATCAAGACCTTTTCTTTTATTTAAATATTTATTTAACTTTTATTTTGAATGAAATTTATTAGAATTACCAAATTTGATATACTTCCCAAATTTTAACAACTTTGTAATAACAAATTAAAGTGATCAATAACCTATTTTAGAATTGGGTAAAACTTCAATAATCTCTCATGAAATTATATGAGTTTAGTTAGCTGATTTGGCAAATGATGTGGCTGATGAGATGGCATCCATGTCATTTTTCTATCAAAATTTCGATGGAATTTGACAAGGTGACCAATTATAGTATACTTAACAAATTTTAGTGATCTTGATGGGACATATTACAATTCAGTGACCCAAATGAGACTTGGCTATAAATTGAGTGACTTATGATGAAATTTACCCCTAAATTCAATGTTTAAGTTTGTTTTCTATCATCAACAATAAGGAAGATAAGATGATGTGAACGATGATTTTTTTCTTTTGTCATTTCATTTTTCTTTCATTTTTTCCTTTTAAGAAGATCGATAAAAATAAAAAAAATTAATTTAAAAACAATTCATCATAATCATTATCATTATCATTATATATAAAATTTAAATATTTTACAACAAATATCAAAATTTTTTCATAAAATTTAAATTTATATCATAATTTTATTACATAAAATATAATAAATTTTGATTAAAATAATAAAAAAACCTAAATTTTTTCATTTTATCTAAATAAACCTCTCTACTAATATTACATCCAAATAAGCTTTTGAACTTTAATTTACATTTAAATAAGTTCTTAACATTTAATTTGTATCTAAATAAACCTTTAACCTATACTTTATACCCAAATAAACCTTTAATATAAATCAATTTTTTGTTTAAAATAAGAAATTATTTGGATATAACTCAAAGAATAAGAGGTTTTTTTTAATATAATAAAAGTATATGGTTTTATTTAAGAAAAGTAGAATTGTTCAAAAGGGTTTTTAGTATTTTAGCCATAAACTTTGGATTACCTAACATTTATTTGGATTTTTTATTTTTAATTTTCTTTTATTCATTTTCTTTAAAATCATTATTTGTTGAAATTTATTGAAACCTTTGGTTTTGTAGCATTTATATTTTTTTTCTTTTGATTTTCTTGTGACTTATGATTTTTCATTTTTTTAAGAGTGAAAGATTATATTTATGTTTTTCACATCTCTATTACATTTTCTTCTCCCAATTATTATTTGTCATATTACTATAACTAGGTTTTTTTAATGCTTTCATTTTGATAAATTTATAATTATGCAATTTTTCAATCATGATTTATGAATTTTTTACATTTCAAATTTGTTTATTAGTCAATTAATATAATTTTTTTAGTGTTTACTTTTTTTTATAATTTTTTATTTTTTACCATAATATTTTTTTTTTTTTGCAATTTAAGCTTGGTTTTTAATCAATTACTAATCATGAAGTTTATTTATTATTAAGTTTTCATTTTCATAATTTTTTTTATTTTTATCATAATCTATGATTTTTTTTTGGTATTTCAAGTTTGTTTATTAACCAATTGGTTTCTTTTTTGGTGGTAACATTTTTATAATTTTCATATTTTTTTACCACGATCTTTTTTTTTTTTAGTTTAAGCTTAGCTATTAACAAATTAGAATATTTCACAGTTAATAATTATCTCTTAAAAAGATGATTGGATAATTGAAATTTATGTTTATCAATTGTGAGATATTTATAATTATAAGATTAAACAACTATTAGTATAAAAATGATGTTAATTGATGGAAAGGTATAAATATATATATATATATATTTTTGTTGGTCATGCTATATTCTTATTTTTTATTCATTTTATTAGTTTTTGGTTCAATAGTAGGTATGAGTATTGTTTTTATATTGTTTGCTTATGATTTATGATTTTTTGGATTATAGAAATACTTTCAATCTCTTATAAATTTTATTTTTAAAATTTTTGGTATGTAGCATGTGTTAGTAGTTTAGAATGTGATGCATTCTACATTAGATAAAAAGATTTAATTATTGATGACTAAAGTTAATTTTTGCATTAATTGTATTCATATTTTAAATAATTATGTTTGAATAAAAATAATTATCATAAGATAAATGGTCATAACTATTTGAATATAAATATATTATTATCCATAAAGGTCATAGTTATACAGAATCCCATAACTATTTGAATAAAAGTTTATGTCTGTTCATTCATTATAAATAAATTTTTTAGTATAATCATTTTTACTTCTCCTAATTAAAAAGTTTGAGGCTTTATTGTATCCTAGAGGTATAATTAATTTTAAAAAAGTATTCTTCACATCTTATAGTCAAAATTGTTTTTTATTATTTCTCTTTCTTATTTATTTTTTCTAACAGCATGTTAGTAATCAAAAGATTTGTTAGCATTCTCTTTGTGTTTGCATCTTTAGAATTTTTTACTTTTTATATGATCCATGATCGATGTTTTTGCTATTTAAATTCATTTGTTGGGCATTTGAGGAACATTTAAAACCCATAGTTGCTTATGACTTCAAATTTTCTTATTTTAAGCAACAAATTAACTATTACGATGAGATTGAAAGGTTTGGTTTGTCAATTATATGATACTTTTTTTTTTGAAAATATGTATTAATATTTTATTTACATCTTATTTTTATGGAACAAGTTAACATAAAGTTTGCTTCTTTTTTCATTTTCTTCATTATGTTTTATTTTTCATAGCAATTTTAAATTTTTTGTAATATATGATATAATTGATAATGGAAGGTTATACTCAAATTTCAATGTTGCGATAAAATTTTGATTCATTTGCTATCTCATGTTTTTCTCTTTTTTTTTCCTCTTAATCTATTTATTCATCTTCTTTCTTCAATTTTTTTATTCATACTTTTTATTTAATAATTAAATTATAGAATATATATATTTTATGTTGTCATATTTATTTATATTGTTAACAAATTTATATTTTCTTTACAAGATTTTTGTTTACTTTTGATGGTTT